TACCAGAGATAAAATTAATCCTTACTCAATTATTGTTCTGTTCAATAATTTATAATTCTTTTCTGCAATCTTCTTTTCTAAAATATGTTACCAAATTCATCGGTTTTATATAATCGATTATGTGTGCGTAAAATTTATTAGCTTTAACAGAAATAATTGTGGAACGTGTCACTACTTAATAGAAATAAATCAGTTCAAGTAATTATAAATGGGGAATATTGAACATTGAAGTAATCGAACTGTCGCCTTTTTAAACCTTACTATAGCTTATTATAGCTAAAACATCAAGTTGTTCCGTCAATATAAATATGTAAACGTACGTAAAGGTCCGAGCGTCCCAGATACTGACTGTACCGTCGAAAGAAGCCGTGATTACTTGATTGCCATTGTTATTGAAGCAGAGGGCGATTACTTCAGCTGTATGACCGTTCAATGCCCCCTCCTCGCTACCTGTCGCATGTAAAGTAAAATATTAATTGTGCACTTTAATAACACGAAACGAGTCTATTAATTAGAATGCGAATTTTATGCATTTATGGTAAGAATGAGTGGCTAAAATATAAAATTGTATCTACATAAGAAGAACTTAACAATATTATTATGCTAGTTTCAACTTATCAAAATTATTGGAAGAAACAATTTATTTGTATTTAATGTTAACCTTGACAAACCTTAACAGAAGCTTTAATAAGCTAATCAATTTTTTTTATTCACCACGCTCTTGTTGATGATAATTAAAGGTATACCCAGGAGAACATCAAAGAACAGCAAAGTCAAAATTCTTAAAGGACAAGAACAGAAATAGAGTATTTCAGGCGTTCTTAATTATAGATGAATGAACCTTACTGAAAAATGTGGATAAATTAGTGCAACACATTACAAACTTTGTTCATTTATAAACATAATTTTAAACTTCTAATTTCGAGACATGGTACGATAAATATAATAAACTAACTAAAAATATTTTCGTATTTTATCTTTGTCCATTATCTTCCTAAGTAAGGTTAGTTAATTAATAAATACAGATATATATTATAGGCTATATTATAGTCGTAGAGAGGAAGAAAGCACTTTCACATCGAACGTATTATTATATGTTTGACTATAGAATACCTGTCGTCAGGTGAAAAATTTTGGACGTCCCATCCAAAGAGCAGGTGGCAAGCTTGTTTTGCGTCGGCGAAAATTTCGCGACAACGACCTGGCCATCGTGACCCCGCATTGTGGTCAAGCAATGTCCTGTTTGCGAGCACCAAACTCTCGCGGTTTTATCGAAAGAGCCGGTCGCAATTTTGTCTCTATAAAACAGATAGCAGAACATTCGAAATTCGCTAAAAGAATTTACTGCGATTACACGTACTCGAATTATAGTACACGAAAGAAACTTAAAACGGAATTGTACAAGCTGGAGTGCAGATGTGTCAAATTTTTAGTAAGTAAAGCGTCAAATTTTTTGGAAGCAATTGCAAGAAACTAAAATTAAATAGAGTTATCGTTTATCTTAAGAATTTTAATAAGATGAGAATAAAATGACGGTATTCTCTCGAATTTTCTGAAATATTTTACAGTTTTACATTTTATGCACATAATTTTGATCAGAAATGCACAAAATACATGGTATATTAATGAGATTTCGGTAGGAAACGGAATCTTCTTGATCATCATTGATTATGATCAAGAATCACATAATCTTTTTACTCATTAAAATTTTAATATAATAATTTTCTCTCGTTAATAATATTATCATATCTTCACAAGAGGCTTAGACAATATTCTTTCAAATGATAATATCAACAGAAGATCATACTACTCGACGTAATCTTTTTTTATTAGGATATGAAACCATATACACAGGGTTATTAGTGGCACGTACTTTACTGTGCATGTACAGTCCTCACGCGACAAGAAGACACTTCTACGTTTGCATTTCCCCTCTTACTATCTGCCCCGCAGTTATCGGTCGCTATCGGTCAAAAACAGCGACGAAGATCGCCGTCGGCGAATAGTGACCGACAGCTGCGGCAGTGGGACAGCTAGTAAGAGGGGGAATGTAAACGCAAAGGTGACTTTTTGTCGCATGAAGACTATATACATATAATATACTCCAAGTAATTTGATCGCATAACAAACATTTTTTCGAATAACAAATATTTCTGACGATGATCACATGTAGTGATAAAAATGGGACACCCTGAATTATAATACAATATAGAAAGTGTACGAGAGGTGTATTTCCAATCAACGGTTAAACAATATACGTACGAAGCTGGGTTGTTGAAGGACACGGCGTAGACCACATTCTTATGGCCTTCGAGAGTAAGAAGCTCCTTTCCACTGTCAATGTCCCAAATTTTACACGTTCGGTCGTAGCTGCCTGTGATACATCTGTCAAATAATCGAATTTCTCTTGTCAGTGTCCTTATTTCCTCAAGGATTGCCGAAACGAAAAATTCCAAAATGTACGCAACAATAAACATAACTATCCACTTCTGATCTTTTTTCACCATTTTCAAGGTTCACCGTAATGATTTGACACTGATTATGTCGAAGAAGTGCAAGATTAATTCAAAGATCATAATTAAGATCAAACTAAGAAATATTTCATTAATTAAAGGTTTAAGCTTAATCGTCGATTAAAATTGGAAAATCGTCTTCAATTTTGCGATCTTTTTAAAGAAATGAAAGATTGACTGGAAAATATTTACTACATGGAAATACAAATTATTTTGCCTTTTTCAATTTTTGAAATGTAATTAAAGCTAAGTACTCTTTGTCAAAGCTTAATCTAAAATGCATACATAATATTGGTAGTAACTGCTGTTTTTTCCTTATTCCGCGTTTCCTTAATTTATTATAGCTAGTTTGCGCACTTTATTCATTTATCACGAAACTAAATAAGTGCAACTTAAGATCCACAATCTAGCTATAACCTAGCGTTTGCTAATCGACGGAAAGATTGATATAAAGCTGTCAACAGATCAACTTTGAGCGAGTGATGCATTCCGGATCGTTAATATGAATGGGGTAAGTGAATTGTGTAGCCGCATATTTAAAAACTATTTCATGAATGTACAGGGTGTCCAACCATAAATGCCCAAGCAAATACCACGGTGTGCGAGACAAGCGACGAGAGTCAGAAGGCGTAATGTTACGTGCTGTTTAATTCCGAAATGTTACGTGCTGTTTAATTCCGAGCTACGCGATACGTAATAGCAGTTTTTAACAAGCTGCCAACTAAATATGCAAAAAAACAAGATATACAGGGTGTCCCAAAGTTACGGTACTTCCGGGAAATGAGGGGTTCGTAAGAGATCATTCGAAGTAACTTTATCTTCAGCTAAAATGCAATCCGCCGTTTTGTTTACGAGTTATTAACAAAAAACAGTGACCAATCAGCGGAACTGGGCTTCGTGCGCTCGTTGGCTGGGCCGCCTTCCGCCAGCCGAGCTCGCCTCTCATTGGTCAGTGTTTTTCACGAATAACTCGTAAACGAAGCCGCGTATTATATTTTCGCTAAGGAAAAGGTTACTTCAAATGACCTCGGGAACCCCTCATTTCCCGGAAGTGCCGTAATTTTGAGACAGAAATAAAAAGAAATTGTCACACATGCGATTAATTTCATTCTTGTATCTTCCATTGTATACCATTTACGAGGTATTTGTCTGGACATTTATGGCCGGACACCCATAGCTGCAATAGCTGCAGTAACGTAGGATGCAATTTAAATATAAAACCGTACACGAACAATCTTAATCGGGAGTACCTTTTACCTAGTTTATCGAACGCGATGTTCGTAAGCGGAAGAAGATGGGTCTGCAAGGTTTTGCATTTGTAGTAGCGCTTCGTGTTTGTGTCGCAAACTTTGGCTTGCAGCTTCTGCAGAGTCTCCACTAACTGCTCCATTACACTCTCGGTTATAACCGGCTCGTCCGCCTTTATGTTCTCTGCTAATGCTCTTATGTCCGTTCTGGAAAACGACACATCCACCTTTGCTACCGACGTAATTATACGCGCGTACGAAATTATTCAAGACAGTACGAAGGTTAAATTCCAAGGATCCCGTACGGATCCAAATTATTCATACTTCTTGCAAAATAATTCTGTTATCAAGCATTCTTGGGTGACATTAAGGAAACCTTGATGACGGTGTTTCATTTTTAACTTTTCTTCCAATAAATTCGGTACTCGAAATGAGTTAAGAATTATTTGCAAAGATTGGTAGATTTTAGGCGTTTTCCTCAATTTAGTTGTTGTTTAAACGTATTTCCGTTCTTTTAATATAATATCAAACTGTAGCATTCTGGAGAATCTAGAGAGGATATTACTATGCAAGTTAGAACGACTGTGTCTGTTAAAACAGAGGACGTTTCAAAATTTGAACATTTAATATTTTCATGTATATATTTTCTTTGCAAAATATACGTGAATATTGAAAGAAGCTGCACAGTTTATTGAATATTAATAAATTGAATATTAATAAATCCCTGCCTTAATATCAATTTTTACTTTGGGGATTGTTACCGAATAGGACATATCTATTTCCAATGTATTGAAGTAATCGCATCCAGAAAATTGCTAACATATTTATTTAGCGTGAAATATGAATAGAAGTTAGAAAATTAAAGAACGCGCCACATAAAATATTAAATACATTATTAATAATGTATCAGCATCTCTAGTAAGAATTAAATTTAATCAACAACCCAAAATGATCCTGCAATAATGATATTCGGTACACGAGCCAATTATTATTTTTTAAAAAACGAAGCTGTATTTTATATTTGGAAATATTTCTCATGACACGTCAAAAAATAATATAATTAAAAATCAAATACATAACCGTAGATACTTTTGTATGACCCAATATGCTTCGAATAAAATGTTTGATATAAAAAAGATATTTTCATTGATTATCATTATAATATTATCATCATTATAAATATCAATCTATCAAATGAATTCACGGAAAACCACTGTTATAACTTTGATCGTTGCAAAACCAGTATAGTTCGAAATGGATCATTTTGAGTCGTTAAATCGAGCAAACAGAGCTCGCCAATTAACAAGATTATACACCGAAATACTGATTTACTCTGTCGTCAAGTCTAGGAGATCGATTATCTTCGTCTTGACGTCACCGCCCTGCGTGTACTCCAAGCCGAGACCTGCGGAGCAAGAGGAGAGAAAGAGAGAGAGAGAGAGAGAGACGGTGATGATGTAGCCTGGTAGACTCGCGTTAATTGCACCAAAAAATTCGAATTGGTCCGCGTGATACCCGGCGGGAAGTAACGAAGCAAGAACTTCAGCAGCTTCATGTTGATGGTCCAATTACAGCCGGAAGTTCAGCGTGTTTCGGACAGGGGTGCGGACCGATTGCTGGTAGCGGCCCGCGGAACGAGACCGTCCTCCGAATTTAATTAAAAAACGTAATCGTCGCGAACCGCGCGAATTCCACGATTCGCAGAGGTTGCTTTTATCTGCTGTCAGTACAGCGTCCCTCATCCGCCGGTCAGACTTATTCAACTGGCAACTGGCTCTGTCTTGTAATTACCGAAACAACCGAATCAACGTGTCGCACGCGTTACCAAGGAACGCTTGGTCGATTCTCGACCCTCGTCCCGTAGAAAATCTGTGTTTATATTCTACATACGTACCCATAGTTGGGCAAATTTTATTTTAAGTAATAAATAACAAATTGCAAATTAAATGAACACTTCGTTTGCAAACAATAATTAAATTTTTTATTTAATTAAAAAATTATTCAAATAATCCTACGAATAATGTATTTGTTATTTCTTATTTGCAAGTAAAATGTTATTTTTGACGTGGATTTTAGGGAAAGACAAATGATAAATAATATTTGCTTCTCTTTCGTCCATTGTATATTATACAATAGACATTTTATACATTTGTTTTTATTGGGTATCCTTAATTGTGAAACAGAAATTATTACCGAAAAAGGAAGATGTGTTTGAACATCTTACCGCGTCTTAGAATGTTTAATAATGATAATAATGACATGATAGCAAACACATTAGTCTTTATTTATTATAATCAAGAAAGATCAATATGACTGAAAGATAAATAGCTACGTCCAAATTGTCTCGTCGAAAATAAAAGAACGAATCAAGACGAGATAAAATTAAAATAGAATTACCTGCATTGTATCATAAATAGTAAAGTGATGTATAGAATATGCTACTTTTTAAGGAGCAAAGAAAAATATTAATTTGGCAACGCAATTGTTGCAACGCATTGTACGTGTAAGTATACAACTGTTACGAACCAAGTGTTACAGACTCTACCTAAATGAAAAATAAAAATATAAATAAACTCTACCTAAATATCTACACTTGTGAGATACATTAAACTGTATGCAAAAGTTGTTTTTCCAAGACAGCTAGTTTTTACTGCGTTTTTCGCCATGATTACGAATGTTTTTTTAAATCTACATGATCGTATCAAAAAGTGCAATTTTGCAGCTTTCATTGAGAGTTGAAAAAAGTCTTAACAAGAATGTAACGAAGGATCATTTTTTTCGAAATGCTTCGATTATCAACATGGACATGGAGAATTGGCCTTTAGATTATTTGGCATTTATATTGTGCAGAAGATTGAACTACAGATCGTGCAATAAATAAATATAAAACAAAATAAAAGTTAAGGTAATAAATAATAAAACGGTATTAAAATATGAAAACTGAAGAACGTGTAAACATAAATATTTTCACAACCAATGGCACAACATTAACATTTTTAGTCCTAAATTACTTCTAATGATACTGTGCATCAATCCCTTATAATAGATTATCATGATTATATGTAGTTAATTATGATTTTTGTAGCAAAGAACTCTTCGCGGGCACCGGAATGCCATCTAACGTTCAAGCTCGAAATTACGAAAACCTGATTAACTCGAGAACCAATAACTCAAATTCTACATTTTTGGTCTCAAAATGTTTATAAGGATGCCATAAAATGTTTATAAACTAAGCCTTATAATTCCATAATCAACCCAATTTTAATTTTCACAATAAAATTATTCTCTTGCCACTCTTATACCATCTAGCGACAGAATTTTACGACTAAACATAAGATGCAATGTCTGTACGGTCATACAATGCAAACGATTTCAGAAAAAATTTTCTAATAAATCGATACTTAATCAACTATCGCTACTACCGTCAAAAGAAACTGTCATGCCATTAAGGGGCTGGAGTAGTCATGTGACTTTACGGATACAGCAGGTTGGTATCTGCTGTACAGATTTCGTTACATAAATAGTATTATTTAGAGATTTGTAGCTACTTGATGAATACAAGATGGCGCCACCGTCGTTTTCTATTAGGAATGAAAAAGACACTCAATTCAAATAGAAATATTCTTCGAATCGAGAAATGCACTGACAGTTTCTTACAACTTTCGAACCATTGCAATGAAATTTTTACTAAAAATATTTAGATAACTTTAGATAATTAAATATTTTTTGCATTTGTTAAGCAATAATATTTAATTAATTTTTAATTTAAATATAATTTTATCTTTTACTTTCTAAATGTGTATTGTGTAAGTGTATGTAAAATATAGAAGCGAGTAATCTTTTTGTATTCAACTTATACAAAAATGACTGAAAAACGAAATATACCTCTTAAGCGTGCAAACAGATATTTTTATAATTATTTATAATAATAATAATTTTTACAGCATTGCGGATTGAGGAATACAATGCCGTTTTTGTATAACTTTTTAACCATAACAGATATTGGCATGTGATTTGGTCACAACAATATACATATAAATATTATGTGACAAACAAATATGAAAAATCATAAAAAATTATATTAGAAATATCTAATTTATTATTGTTATTATGTAATTTGTTTAAGTTCTCAATAATCTTTGTGGATACTTTTATTCGCATGCTGGATGCGAGAGGATCAGAATAATACTGTGATGTTCAAATGTGAACAGAGATTAGAGATTAGATTATCTGAATAGTATAAACATACAAGGTGCCTGTAACCTAAACCGAAACAATTCCCTTACGAACTGGAGGCCGAAGCTCTCCTTCCTCGCACAATTGCACCCATAGCACGCGTTGCCAAACGCCGTGCCTTGAACATCACCCATACGAAGCTGGTTCACTATATTAATTAATGAAAGATAGCTGAAAAAATTGCTCTTCAATTACCCATAATTGCTCACCAATTAGTTTTAATTGCTCACTGATCCTTTTCAAGAAATACAGTAGAGACTCCCGCATCTGTACCTCCATTATCCGAATACCCTAATATACGGAATGTAGGTTTCTCGTCTGTGTGGAGACTCGACATAGAGCTCACTGGTTTTATTCTTTCTCTCTCTCTCTCTCTCTCTCTCTCTCTCTCTCTCTCTCTCTCTCTCTCTCTCTCTCTCTCTCTCTCCGTTTTTTAATGTTTCCCTACGTTTTTATATTTCCATTATTTTAATTCATCTGGGAAATATTATTTTGGAAACTTTAGTCTAAATTAGATTTTTTAAAAAAATTTGATACTTCTAGATAAACTAAACACAGACGGCTTCTCTCTCTCTCTCTCTCCCTCTCTCTCTCTCTCTCTCTCTCTCAATCAGACCCCGTTCTCTTTCCAAACCAACTGCACAGAGTTGGATGTGCATTAAAATGGTGGGGATAAAAGTGCTCGGAAAGAAGCTCGCTATGAGGAGGTACATACTCCATAGTACATAGTGCAAGTATGGACTATAAGTTTGGATAAAAAAATATGTTTGCCCAAGTATGGACAATATACGTATAGTAATATATTGTAATTTTTGCACTCCCGTGTCCCGTTTTCAATTGAGCATTACTAATGTAATCTACGAACTCACGCCAAGTTACCAAAAGTTCATCACTACACTGTCGACGGCGCTGAGTTACAACACTGGTTGTATGGTTGATTCATTTATTCCCCTAATCTAACCATGGGCATGGTCCTCATTTAACCCTGTTCATAACATAACCTTAAAATTTACTATGTACAATGTTTACACGTGACACTGAATGTTAAGCTTTATTTTCACGATATGTATTCATTTTGTCGTTCTTTATTTATTGCAATAAATGGTAAATACATCTCAGAAATAATAAATTAATATACCTTGGAGCTGTTAATGTTATTTATCTGATACATATTTAATTGTTGTATTCACTATGATGAGTGAAAGAAAGTTCGAAGAAGAAAATAGAAACAAGCAAAATAGCGGTGATTCTCCTTTGGAAGTAATACAAACCAAACGAATTCTGTCTCGTTTTAAATCAGAGACTGGTGAAATATTACCTGGTGGTTTATTAGATTTACCTATAAACATATCTATTGACAAATTGCAAACAATCTGTAATGCTCTTCTACAAAATGAAGAACCAGTATCTTTTGCATTTTATGTGAACGATGTAGAAATTACAGACACTTTAGAAAAAAATATAAATGAAAACTTTAGCATTAGTGAAGATGTAGTTGAAATTATATATCAACCACAAGCAATATTTAAAGTTAGAGCAGTTACTCGATGTACTGGATCATTGGAGGGTAAGTTATTTGCATGTTTACTTATATTCGCTTATAGTGGTTTACTTATTTTCAATTTTTTGATTACAGAAGATATATATATATATATTCTTATTGGTATAAATATCAAGAAATATTATAATGTTTTCTTTATTTCAACGACGTAATTTCTATTTTGTCTGTAAATTTAATCCAATCATAAATTATTTAAAGCAATTATGATATTTTTTATGGAAGTATCATAAAGCAAAATGCTAATGGTATTTGAATTAATTTTTACTTTCCATAGGACATAAAGAAGCCGTGATATCAGTTGCATTTTCTCCAGATGGTTGTAACTTAGCTAGTGGTTCTGGAGATACTACAGTTAGATTTTGGGATATCTATACTCAAACACCTCATTTCACTTGTGAAAGTCATAAAAATTGGGTTTTGTGTATATCATGGTCCCCGTGCGGAAGAAAACTTGCTTCTGCATGTAAAAATGGAACGATCATACTATGGGATCCAAAAACAGGTCGACAAATAGGTAAAGATACTAAATACTTTGCAATAAAATTGTTCATAATATATTAAATTATATGAATTTCTAGGAAAACCAATGTCAAGTCATAAAATGTGGGTCACATCTTTATGTTGGGAACCATTTCATAGAAATCCAGAATGTCAATATTTAATTAGTGCTTCTAAAGATGGTGATCTAAGAATATGGGACACTGTACGTTCTCAAACTATTCGCACACTTTCAGGTCATACCAAAAGTGTAACGTGCGTCAAATGGAGTGGAAATGGTCTTATTTATTCTGCTTCTCAAGACAGAACTATCAAAGTATGGAGGGCCGAAGATGTAAGCGTTGCACATATTACATTGTTGTAATATCTGTATAGTCATTGTACGGCCAAATATTCTGTTAAAATTAATATATATATATATATATGTCTAGGGAATTCTATGTAGGACTTTAGTGGGTCATGCACATTGGGTAAATACATTAGCTTTAAATGTAGATTACGTGCTTAGGACTGGGCCTTTCCATTTGGGAAAGCATATAGACAAGGCAGAGAATGTATTGGAATATGCAAAAAAACAGTATGAATGTTTTAATGAAGAAATACTTGTATCTGGTTCCGATGATTTCTCACTATTCCTTTGGAAACCAGAGAAGGAAACGAAACCTATTGGTATTGTATATTATTTTATAAATGTAAAGTTATCAAGTAACGTAAATTTATCTACAAATTTTTTCAGCAAGAATGACTGGTCATCAACAACTGATAAACGACGTAAAATTTTCACCAGATGGCCGGATAATAGCATCAGCTTCTTTCGATAAGTCCATAAAATTATGGGAATCTAATACAGGAAAATATATAGCTTCATTGAGAGGCCACGTACAGGCCGTGTATGCAATAGCATGGAGTGCAGATTCCCGTTTACTCGTTAGTGGTAGTGCAGATTCCACATTGAAAGGCTAGTGAATCCTTTTCATAAATAATTAATATACTAATTTTTATTTTAAACTAATATATTGGGTCTTTTTATTTTAGTTTGGAGTGTGAAGACCAAGAAGCTTTGTCAAGATCTCCCTGGTCATGCAGATGAAGTTTATGGTGTGGACTGGTCTCCAGATGGATTGCGTGTTGCATCTGGAGGGAAAGACAAAATATTAAGATTGTGGCAGAATTAATATATATATATTTTTTCATAATAAATTTGAATTTCTCTATAAAATAGTGGATGTTTTGTAGTTTTCCCACCCTCGGTGTGTAAGGTCCGTGAATTTAGGATGCGAAGTTACGAAAGAACTCGTACAGTTGCCTACTTTGTGACTCCCGAACGCGTTTAAAAGATAACGGAAAAGCGGTATGTGATAGAAAACATTGTATAAAATCAAACAAGAACTATTTATAGGAAAAGTACTTTTATTGTGTTTCAGAAATGGCAAATTAAATCAGGATCACAATGTAGCAAGAATCGGAGTGTTCCGCTCTTTCTTCGCTCCTTCCATTTCTATCTTGATTCGGGTCGAATACGAAGGATAGTCGAAGAGTCTCGTCGCGTAGTAATACAAGAATCTGAAGTTAATGCTTTAAAGATAAGTCAACGCTCTTGCATCTTATAATTGTTGCGTTTGTTTCACTTTGTCTAGTTTGTTCTACGCTTCCTGACTCCCGTCACGCGTCTCCCTCGACCGTGGTTGTGTAAATAATATATGTATACCGTTGGCTAGTCGCCGAGTCTTTAATGTTCAAGCTCGGCGTGCGGCAACGCGTACTATGGATGAAACTGCGAGGGGCGAAAGCCTCAGCTTTCAGTTTAAGGGAATTGTTTAGGTTTAGGTTTATACTATTAGGTTATGTTTATACTATGATAGAGATAAGCAATCATCAACTCTCTAGCCTCTGTTCGCATTTGGACATCTAAGAATTATATAATATTCTGTTCCTTTTGCATCTAGCACATGAATAAAAGTATCCACAAAGATAATTGAGAATTTGGGCAAATTATGTGATAATAATAATAAATTAGATATTTTTAATATAATTTTTTATGATTTTTTTCAAACCTGTCCGTCACATTGTCACATAAATATCTGTTATAGCTAAAAAGTTATACAAAAACGGCATTGTATCAACCCGCACCGCTGAAAGAATTATATACAGTAATATATTAGTATACATTATATTATATACAGTAATAAGACCTATTCCTGCATACTTTTCTTACTCCCTAAGCTGGCACGCACATCCCCTTCATTTTACTGCACTTCCAATCCGCAGTGAAACCTCAGCAGTGAATCGTCAACTAATCACAGCAAAGAAGCTGCGGCCTGGAGGTGTGCAAGAGTAGGTCCCATTACTGTAAATGCATAATTATAAAAATATCTGGTTGCACGCTTGAGATGCGTTTTTAGCTTTTCGGTAATTTTTGTATGTGTTGATTATAAAAAGATTATTCGCTTTTATATTTCATATACATATAAAATAAACATTTAGAAAGTAAAAGATATTTAAAAAATACTTAATTACTTAAAGTTGATAATGATTATTTTTTAAATGATTCAAAAATTATAAGAAAATGTCACTGCATTTCTCATTCCGAAGAATATGTACATATATCTATTTGAATTGAGTTTCTTTTTCATTTCTAATAGAAAATGCCGGTGGCTCCATCTCGTATTTATCAAGCTGGATAATACTATTTCTGTAACAAAATATATAGATATCAGATACCGAGACCTGCTGAAGTACCATAATTTTGAGATATATGCTCTAAAGTCACGAATCGTTGATTCGTGAAAGTGATTCAAAAGTCGTAGTTCTAGCCATCACTAATTTCTAAATCCGTGGCGTGGTATTACTCATTGTTATTCAGTTTGTGCAGTCGCGCAACGTAATAAATTTAGGAAATTTGAATTCTATTACGTTGACAACATTGCGAGATTCGGTGCTCCACGTGATTGAGTAAATATTTCCAAAGCACGTTTATACACTATTATGGTTAAGTTATATCTGAAGTGTTTATTATTATCATTTTTTGATTAAAGTGTATTTTTAACGAATAAAAAAATGTTAATAGAACCGAAATTAACAAATACCTCACAAAACTTTGGTAAACCGCCAGAGAAGCAAAACGCTGTAAATATTAACATTGATTTTGCTTAATTTTGAAATTTTTCTAAAANTAAATATCTGTTATAGCTAAAAAGTTATACAAAAACGGCATTGTATCAACCCGCACCGCTGAAAGAATTATATACAGTAATATATTAGTATACATTATATTATATACAGTAATAAGACCTATTCCTGCATACTTTTCTTACTCCCTAAGCTGGCACGCACATCCCCTTCATTTTACTGCACTTCCAATCCGCAGTGAAACCTCAGCAGTGAATCGTCAACTAATCACAGCAAAGAAGCTGCGGCCTGGAGGTGTGCAAGAGTAGGTCCCATTACTGTAAATGCATAATTATAAAAATATCTGGTTGCACGCTTGAGATGCGTTTTTAGCTTTTCGGTAATTTTTGTATGTGTTGATTATAAAAAGATTATTCGCTTTTATATTTCATATACATATAAAATAAACATTTAGAAAGTAAAAGATATTTAAAAAATACTTAATTACTTAAAGTTGATAATGATTATTTTTTAAATGATTCAAAAATTATAAGAAAATGTCACTGCATTTCTCATTCCGAAGAATATGTACATATATCTATTTGAATTGAGTTTCTTTTTCATTTCTAATAGAAAATGCCGGTGGCTCCATCTCGTATTTATCAAGCTGGATAATACTATTTCTGTAACAAAATATATAGATATCAGATACCGAGACCTGCTGAAGTACCATAATTTTGAGATATATGCTCTAAAGTCACGAATCGTTGATTCGTGAAAGTGATTCAAAAGTCGTAGTTCTAGCCATCACTAATTTCTAAATCCGTGGCGTGGTATTACTCATTGTTATTCAGTTTGTGCAGTCGCGCAACGTAATAAATTTAGGAAATTTGAATTCTATTACGTTGACAACATTGCGAGATTCGGTGCTCCACGTGATTGAGTAAATATTTCCAAAGCACGTTTATACACTATTATGGTTAAGTTATATCTGAAGTGTTTATTATTATCATTTTTTGATTAAAGTGTATTTTTAACGAATAAAAAAATGTTAATAGAACCGAAATTAACAAATACCTCACAAAACTTTGGTAAACCGCCAGAGAAGCAAAACGCTGTAAATATTAACATTGATTTTGCTTAATTTTGAAATTTTTCTAAAACTGTCATGTCTAATTGAGAATTATTTCATGTTGTAGTTGCTCCAGAGTTTAGGTACTCCGCACATAGATTCTTTTAATTACATGTTAGAAGATGGTCTCGTAGAAGGTGTTGGAGATAATCCTCTTGTTTATATTCACCTTCCAAACGAAGATAAAGTGGCTCTGTGGGTCGATGATGTTACTATCCATCAGCCTACTGTTCCCATTGGAACTATTGGAGTGAAGAATCATAAAATTTATCCTACAGAGTGTCGTCAAAGAAGATGTACTTACAAAGGAAAAATAACAGTTAAACTTGGTTGGTCAATTAATGGTCAAATTCAAGAAGCTCTTGAAAGAAATTTGGGAGAAATTCCAATTATGGTTAAAGTATGTAGCTAAAAATTTAACAGTTATACTATCTATTCTAAAAGTATATTGAAATATTTTAAAAGATAATGAAAATGCTAAAACGAAATATATTAAATTTTATTTATTGAATCATAATTCTATAAGATCTTGCAAATCAAAATATTTCAATGTATAACAGAAGCACCATATACACCTAATTTATATTTGATTCTATAGTCCAATAGATGTCATTTAAGTAAAATGAGTCCAAAAGAATTAATTAGTCATGGAGAGCATGAACAAGAATGGGGTGGATATTTCATAATTAAAGGATTAGAAAGACTCATAAGAATGATTTTAATGACAAGAAGAAATTATCCTATAGCTATTAGAAGACCTGGATGGAAAGCTCGTGGAATACAATTCAGTGATCTTGGTATACTTCTGAGGAGTGTACGTGATGATAATACTGCAACAGTATGTATTTTATACAGTGAAATGTGTACTACTCTTTTTAAATTAGATGAATAGTATTATGTAAATATCTATTTTACAGACCAATACATTGCACTATGTAACCGATGGATCTGCAAAGTTAATGTTCACACATAGAAAAGTTTTGTATTATGTTCCTCTAATCTTGATGTTCAAATGCCTAGTGGATGTTTCAGATATGTTTATTTATAACGTATTAACAGCTGATAGCGACGATGATCTGTATTATAAGAGCTGTATTTTAAATATGCTCAGAGAAACGCATAAACAAGGCCTACATAGCCATGATCAGTGTAAGGCTTATATAGGAAGTATGTTTAGAATAAAGTTCTTTGAATTGCCACAAGATGCTACTCATATAGATGTTTGTGATTTTATTATTAAGTAAGTGTTACAGCTATGCTAGTAGTGTGTATATTATTTCATATGATTAATGAGCATTATTTTCAGACATTGTATAGCAATTCATCTTAATGATCCCCTAGATAAATTTTATTTACTTGTTTTTATGACGAAAAAGCTATTTGCTCTTGCAAATAATAAGTGTGCTGTTGAGGGAGCTGATGCTGTGATGATGCAAGAATGTTTACTCGGTGGACACTTGTATCTACAAGTATTGAAAGAAAAACTATATAGTTGGCTAGCAGGTCTTAAAATGGGTATTTTAAAGCGTGCAAGAAGCGCGGGGAATAGGTACATATTAAACCTACGTAAGTGTTTAAAAGGTTCTTATTTAGTGTAAATTACATTTATGTATAAAAAATTATATTTAAATTACTTTTTATCCAGAGGAAATGTTAAATATAATGAAACATACAAGTTCGCTTGAATCGCAAATGGAAAATTTCTTAGCGACTGGAAATATAAAATCATCTACAGGTTTAGGACTCATGCAAAGTAGTGGCCTCGCAATTATCGCTGAAAATATTAACAGAATGCGTTATATGAGTCATTTTCGTGCAGTCCACAGAGGTTCTTTTTTCCAAGAAATGAGGACGACCGAAGCTAGACAATTATTACCAGATGCGTGGGGTAACTGTCTATTAGATCGAATATCATCATATTAATCAGAGTTTACAATTCATCATTTAATTATAGGCTTTATTTGTCCTGTCCACACACCCGATGGTGCGCCTTGTGGACTTCTGAATCACCTAACAATGAATTGTATCATTACAAAACATCCAGATTCAAAGTTAAAAGCCAATATTCCATTAGTGTTAATGGATCTTGGAATGGTTCCTTTATCTATTGCTGCCAATTGGAAGAACTCGTATATTGTAATGTTGGACGGGAAATTGATTGGAGTAATAAATGACAATATAGTTGCCAGAATAACAGATAAACTTAGATTGCTTAAAATAAAAGGGCAAAAAGTAATTTGAAAAAATTTATCTAATTAATCTATTAATTTGGGTTGACTTATTCATTTATATGATTTTAGGTACCACCTACAATGGAGATAGCTCTGGTACCAAAAAAAAATGTACCAGCTCAGTACCCAGGATTATATTTATTTACAAGTCCTGCTCGTATGATGAGACCAGTGATGAATTTGATTGCTAAAAAGACAGAGTACATAGGAACATTCGAACAAGTATATTTAGATATCTGCGTCACACCTGAAGAAACTTATGAAGGGGTAATAAAATATGATGTATTTTTTGTATAACTTTACGTTATTCACTAAGTTCTCATCCATTTTATTATTATAGTTAACGTCACATCAAGAATTGTCGAAGACAGCATTCCTAAGCAATTTAGCAAGCCTTATTCCAATGCCAGATTGTAATCAGAGTCCAAGAAATATGTACCAATGTCAAGTAAGGTTTTGTACGAGTATTCTCCTTTTCTAAAAGAATTAGTAAATATTGAATTATGTTATCTTATAGATGGGTAAACAAACAATGGGTACTCCGTGTCATATATGGCAATTACAATCTGAAACTAAATTATATAGACTTCAAACACCTGCAACACCACTTTTCCGACCTGTTCACTACGATAAAATTAATCTTGATGATTTTCCTATGGGTACTAATGCAATAGTAGCTGTTATTTCATACACAGTAAGTACATAATTACCAGTTTCAATATGGCTAGAAGTATTCCTAAACATAACATGTATATTTGTTAGGGATATGATATGGAAGATGCAATGATTATTAATAAAGCTGCCCATGATAGAGGGTTTGCACATGGAACAGTTTATAAAACCGAGTTTGTCGATTTAAAAGATCAAAGAAGTTATTTTGCACGAAATCCAGATAAACCCGGACTTGCAGAAAAATTAGATACCGATGGTCTTCCTCTACCAGGTGTTATTATTTCTGAAGGTGATATTTATTATTGGTAAGTTATTTTATTTTATATGAAGTTCCTAGCAATTCTAAGTAAAGTCTAACAGGTTGAATTCGTCTTAAAAGTTACTACGATGCAGATCTATCAACTTATATTACTGGTAATTATCATGGAAAAGAAGATGCTCATGTTGATACTGTCAAACTATGTGGTACATTACATAGTCACATTCCACGCAGAGCTTGCATTACTTTTCGTATTTCAGTAAGCAAAATAAAGTATACTTTAAATTGATACATGGCTTCCATGTTCCCTAATTACTCCAAATTTTAGCGTAATCCATGCGTTGGAGATAAATTCGCCTCTAGGGCAGGTCAAAAAGGAATTTGTTCTCAAAAATGGCCAGCAGAGGATCTACCTTTTACAGAAACTGGTTTGATTCCTGATATTGTATTCAATCCCCATGGTTTTCCAAGTCGTATGACAATAGGTAAAATTAATTAGCTTTTAAAATCTTTATTTCCATATTTATAAAACGAAATTATAAGACATGTTATGCACAGCTATGATGATCGAAGTAATGGCGGGAAAATCAGCAGCCATACATGGACTAGTACACGATGCAACGTCTTTTCGATTTAATGAGAATGAAACAGCTGTTGAATATTTTGGAAAATTGTTGGAACGTGGAGGATACAATTATTACGGAACTGAAAGAATGTATTCAGGTATAGATGGAAGAGAAATGACTGCTGATATCTTTTTTGGAATTGTGCATTATCAAAGATTAAGGCATATGGTTTTGGACAAGTGGCAAGTGAGTAAACTTTAAATTTATCACAGAGTGTAAAGTGAATCCTACTATTAACAATTTGTATTATTTATAGGTTAGAAGTACTGGTCCAGTAGACGTCTTAACAAGACAGCCAATAAAAGGTAGACGAAGAGGTGGTGGTGTCCGATTTGGAGAAATGGAACGAGATTCGTTAATATCTCATGGATGTTCATTTTTACTTCAAGACCGTCTTTTTCACTGTTCAGATAAGACTACGGTATACTAGAATCTTCTAATGATTCATAATTAATTAATTTATTACTTACTAATAATATTGCTATTACAGACTTTAGTTTGCCAAAAGTGTGGGACATTGCTGGGTCCAATAATGGAAACTACTTTAAACGCGTCAGGATTTGGAGGTAAACTAAGATGTCGCCTTTGCGGCGACGATGAATCTATAAGAGAAGTAGATATACCATACATCTTTCGATATTTTGTAACTCAATTAACATCCTGTAATATTAATGTAAAACTGTCATTTGCAGAAAAATGAAAAAATGTTTGAATGTACTTTGTTTTATTACTCTTTATAATAATAATAATACTTTATTTTTCCTAACATTCCGTTAAACATCTTAATTACAAATTCCATTTATATCTATAAAGATGCTCATCTTATTGTTAAGACGATGTATTTATACAATCACTGATCTGTATATTTGAACAGGTGCCGAACAGATAAATCCTATTATATGTATATTCTTATTTTATATTCTTTGTATCTACTATATCGGAATACAAAGGAATGTAATTTTTTAATGGAATTCAATTTCGAATATTTGATGTATCTATTTTTATCGCAATAAAAGTATACATATTGTACGCGAGGAAATATAGAAGAAGGATTAAATATACACATTTTAAGCCAAACTTTTGAATAAAATGGCTATACGTTTGTCTAAGCTTTTGCTGGAACTTGTGCGCCAGGTTTCGTCCCTGGAGGACCTGACGTACCTGTTTGTTCTTTTTCTAATTGTTTTCCTAAGTATTCCCTATAAATTAAATATTTAATTTAAACAATTAATAATAATCACTTCTACTACTTTATAAATAATAATATAAGTGAAAATATTTACCAATTGTGTACCATGAGCTTCTGAACTGCAAGAAGAGCTTCGTATCTCACATTAGGATCTTCATGACCAAGAAGTTGCATCACTCGCTGTTTTCCTCCCAGTTGTTCAATTATACTAAAAATATTTCAGAAATTTAATAAGCAAAATATTTCATAAATGACTACAGTGAGAACATTTGTAAACGTACTGTTTGCCACGTGGATAGTGTCTTACATATTCTCCAATATCAAAGCTGGCTACGCTAAGAACCAATGGATCTTTACTGCCTTCTAACAAATGAATTAAAATACGCAGCAACTCGTAATTCTTCTCATTAAGCCGACTAGCGTTCTCCCGCCAGAATTTACCAGATTTATGGACAGGAGACCATTCAAGGCGACCAGATTTTACTTCGGTTGAATATTCGTCGAAGGAACTCAAATCCTGTACAGATGCTTGCAATTTATCATTCAAGAATTCAATGTCACCGGTGATATCTTCGTCATCGAATTTTCGTTGTCCCAGAATCGACAGTTGTTTCAATACTTTGCACTGTACCATAGCGATACAATGTTCTTTGGCAACTTGTCCGTCTTCTACTTTCTCAATAAGATTCTGTGTAATATCAATAATAAATGTGTATAATGTACATGTAATTCTTAAATTGTGAAACTTACCCTAAATACTGCTAAAATAATACGAGTGACTTTCTCTTTCACGGAATCGCTTAGTATGTCAGCCAAAATAGGTATAACATTAAATCTGAAAGGTAAGTATTACCATTATTTCATATATGCAATACTTTTCTTAAATTTGATTTTGAATCTTATAATGCATACATACTTATTCATTTTCTCTGCAAGTAATGGATTAAAAGTAAGTACCCACAGGCAAAATATGAGTTGATACTGTACTTGAAAGTTTACCCTGCCCGTCAAAACACTAAGTAATGTAGAAATTCCATCTACAGATACAAATGCAAAACGATACTCATCTATACGAAGCATCATTTGCAGGCACCTTGCCACAGATTGGATGTATTCGTTATTCTGAATAAAATTGGAGACACATATATTATTTTAAATTATCATATTTAATTTTAAACAATCAAATGAAATGTAAAGATGATGTGTGTGCACAAATAAAGTGAAAATGTTACACTGTAATTGATTAATTGCAGGCAGGAAATAATCATTTTTTTCTGAAATATACAATAAGTAGTTAATATTTGAAATTAATCATATTGATTCTAAATGATTATGATTGCATATATACTTGTGAAAATTTTGTATACAATACTACTTACTCACAGCATTAAGTTAACTTTATGTATTATCTATTTACAAATTATTAGAATTTAGATATATAAATAATCAGTTATTACAAGACCAACCGGATTCATTTGTTCATGTAGTTCATATGCCTCATTGTCCACAGAATTGGGTTGTTTTACTCCCACATGCAAGTCTGTATCTTCAAGAGCCTCCAACTAAAACCCATGTGACTTATACACGCGTATGAATCTTGACTTAAAAATATTTTCTTTACCTCACAAAAAGCAACATAGATCTGCTGCATAGTCAGTTGCAATATACTCGAATTTTTACTGAGTGGTTAGTTGCATTTACTATTTCATAAATTCATTTCGATCTACATAATTACACAGACAAGTATGTAGTAATTACATAGAAAATGAAAAAATAATGAGATAGAAAGAAATGCACAACTTTATGGACTGTGCTGTGAATAAGGTTATATGAAATTATAGTATGTTATGGTTCTACAAATTTTATTTTTTCCTGATAAATTGCTGAAGCATAATTTAAAAGTCAAAATTGGGAGGAAGGAGAGTTATAAATAAATATTAAATGAAGCTTCACATATCTGGATAACAATAGATTCTGCATAAAAACCATTAAGCTTTAACTACCAACATATTGATACTTTGTGTCCAGTGTCAAAAGTATTGCTATTAGGCAAAAATACATATTACAAGTATATTTTTGGTGCAGTTTTCTTTTTGAATGCGATGTATAAATGATGTAGTTAAAAGCTAATAATATTAATACATTACCTTCCCTATTCTGCAAGATGCCAAGAATTCATTATTATTTTCTTTATTTTATGTGCTACTTATTTCTAATTATTAATTATGATTCTATATAGCCTTCTGGGGAAAATGGGAAACATTCTATGTATAATGAAGACCCATCACCCATTTTGTGCACACACATTCTATTAAAATAAAAGCTAAGCAACAAATAAGAAGCATGTAACATACAATTTCTTTTCTTCAAATTCATTCTTCTTTCTTAATTGGTATAACTTAAAAGACATATATTTGAACTTACACTTAGTTTCAGTTGATCTTTTAGCCATGTCAAATAGAACTGAAGATCTGTTTTTTCCATCAAATCATGACTCCAGCAAGCAAGTTTTGCAATAATACGAGAAGTCATGTTCATAATAAATCCATCCTGTCTGTTCAATAAGTTTAGGAAAGGCCCCCATACAGATTCTCGTTTCCGATTTGAATGCTCTTTGAAAATTTCTACACGACTGCGATCTTCCTAATTGTACAGACATAATTTCTTAGAACTATTTAATTAAAGTAAATTATATATATATTCCATTATATCAAATAAAGTGATAAACCTGAAGCATATCATCAATCATTATAAGAATGTATTGGATGGTTTGATCTTTCGAAACATGACCAAGTAAGTTCAGAAAAGTTTTAGCAGCTTGATGTGGACTTTCTTTCAGTTTTGTCTCCCTCACATTAGCGTCGCTTGTATCGAAGGCAACAATAAAATCATAATCTTCTTTTGCTATCATTTGAGATCTATAAAGTAGGACATATAGTTAAATATATATGAATATTTATATGTCTAAAGAAAAACTTGCATTATATGTTCTAGATCATAAAACTACTATGGTATATTTAAAAGGTATTAATACAGCTACCATTATATTAAAATCAATACTCAATGTTCTTACTGGAAATACGACTGCCAAGTGATTCTCTGATTTCTGATGTCAGCAGCTTGTTGTTGAAGAATACTTGTAGCTGCTAACATATCTAAAATAATGGAAATATTACTGTTGTAATAAATAAACAAGAACATTAACATAATATGGATGTTTTGCAAATAAGATAAATTCTTTACACTTCTGGGAGGGGCAATGTCAAATTAATATTTAACTGTACTTTAAAATAATTACCAATTTTTTCATCCTGCAGAACAGGTATCATCTCTTTAATATGCGCACGGTCCACCATTTTTGAGATTTTCCTCTGAAAACCTCGTACTTCAATAAACCTTTGTCACCAAATTAACTTTTGCTCCTAAAGAATTTGCACCACCCTCAGCTGTTAGGTCACAAGACCAATGTATTACCAACTTTTCTCAAAGCATAAACTAGAAGTTCCTAACAAATAGGGAATGTGTGAGGTCGCTCTTGTTATGTTCTTACTGGTTCTGAACTTACGAAATTCTCCTATAGGTATCACGACCGGTTAAGATTTGTGACAGATGTAGATAATTAATGTTTTCTGTTTTATCGATAATCTTTAAATATTGATTAAGTTTACGAATTATGTTAATGAAGTTTTCATCACCATGTAGATATTAATTCATTTATTATCGTTACCTACCAATGAGTATTTATAATAAATCTTCTTGGAGTGAACGCGTATATATATGAAACGGAAAAAATATTTATTTATTATTCTAATAATGAATTAAATATGAAAATATTTAAATTTAAAAATATCAATTACCTAAATAAATTATAAGTGTTGAATGGAAATATTATAATCTATTAGATTATTTATTCTATATACCCCCACAGATCATTCCTTACTTGAAATAGTTTCATCAATATTAATAACTGAATCTCCACTTTCTTTCACTTCAACCCTGGTTGGAGATGTATGCAAATGTATGCAATGATGTATGCATTTTTTAAACACATATAAAACTAGCAAAATGAGAATTTACACCATATGTATTTCAGTTTGAACAAAATCCCAGACATTAAGGGAACAAAAGTGATCGATTTAGTGTGGAATGTATTTATTATCAAATATTATTATCAAGTTTTAATGTAAAAGTATTCACAATTTGAATACTGTGTTTTAAAAGACATACATGAACAAGAATCCGGACAGAATAATCAGAATCGAAATCCCTTGGGATGGACTCTATGGTTTTAGGTTTTGTTTTACAAAACCATCTTACAAACCTATTACAAAACCACCCGATGTTTGATCCTTGTAGTAAATAATAAAACGTCACGATTAATAGAGTTCTACAATGATCTTTCTTTACCTTTACCTTTAAGTCCATCAGAAAAAATTTTATAACAATTATGAGATATATTGGTTTCGGTTCTTGATATTATATTGATTTTATAACTGTTATTTTTCGGTTACACATGTATTGGCAAAATTCAATGTAGTGTAAGAGATTGTACACCCTTACATTTCTATATGATAGATCAAACAGTATGTTGGCCGTAGTTGAAACTTACCAATAATACAAAGTATTTCAGAATCTATACTTTTAATCCTCAAAGGAAATATAATCTATTTGTTACGTGAAATAAAATTAGAGCCGAAACTTAGAACCGAAAAATAACAGTTAAAGAACTGAAACCGATATAAGCCAGAACCGATATATACTTTATAACAGTTATAAGAACATTTCAGTTCTTCATAACTTTTCCAAGAATCGAAACCACTATCATAACTGTTTTCATCCCTGCTTCTTTTATTACTCGTCTCGTTATTTATTCGTCCACGTGATCCTCTACCTCTAACTGTTATTCCTCTAACTTATTTGGCAGCAACGT